CCAACAATTTTTTTTAATGGAATGAAATAGAATGGAAAATATCACAGTGCTTAGAGCATAATAAAAATAAGTACTACTTGGTAAAACTAATTTTAAGTTATGCTCACACAGATGTGCGTGTGCACAATGAATCACGATGGTGTTGCTTACTAGTGGACGCCGTCTTGTTTTAGGTTAAAAAACAACTTGAACATCCTGTGTCTTTCATTCTAACTCTTCCCAAGGGAAGAAAAGGAGCCATTATTTCTTTGCCATCACACCAAATGAGTATAAAAGAAAATGCATTTGCTATTGTCCATGGCTCTCAATCGAAAGAACTAAAATCCCTGAAAGTTCATTTACAAAAAATTGGACTAAAATAAAGTCCTTTCCAGGGATAAAGTGGAGAACTGGTTAGAAAAAGAGAAGTAAAAAATTCTTGAGAGGAAAATATTTTGGAAAAAAATATATCCCTTGTCATTTTAAGTCTGTCCTCTAAGTTCAAGGCTGCCGCTCCGAATCTGAGTCTCCACGGGTCTGAGGAACATCTGTCAGCTGGAACAGCTCCTGGGCACTCCCGCTGTGTCGCCGTGAATCATCCGAACAAGCCCATGCTGTGCCTTCTCAACGGAATTTTGGAATACTGAAGGGAAAAAACTGTAGGGTACCACTGACTTAGCATTTAAAAGATCAGCTAAGAGCTTGTCACCATGACATTAATTTTCCTTTATATTTAAAATACAAAAAGATAAGTTGTGGACCATAAGCTATTCTACAAATAAGAAAGAAAACTTGACAGAAATAAGTCGTGTCAGGGGCCTCCGGGTCATATGAAAACTTTTTAGACTGCCATGTTCTCCAAGGATTCCATAATGTCCCAACACACTAGCAACAGAACATCCCCAGTTCAAACAGTGAACACGGACAGAAGAACACAAAAGGGAAACACCAGACATGGAGGCCGAAAGTCCGAGGTTCAAGTCCAATTTTGCCACTTTACTATCTACGTGACGTTGGAAATTCGTTAAAAAATCTCTGCTTTGGTTCCCATACCTACAAATATGGGTAAAAAAGCCCAACTTACCTGGCAGAGCTACTGTGAAGATCAAAACTGATTATACATGGAAGAAAGCACATATTACAAACAATGAAGCACTTTACAAACATTCATTTTTATTAAATATGATTTACCAACATTCCCATTTCCATAGCTGACTCAATACCTGAACCCAACGAAGAGCCTGTGCCATCACCTCTCACCTTGGACCTGAACGGCAACGTGGCGTTCCCACAGTGGCAGGCACCGCGCCACACTCCCACATGCCAACTACCTCAGTCCACAGGAGGTTCGCTCGTTGCTTTGTTTCCAGCTAGAGTGACCGTACATCCCACTCGTCCAGGTTTGCCTAGGGCTGTTTTAACAGCATCGTCCCTTTTCACTCTCAAAAGTGTCCCAACTTAAATGATAAACTATAAGGTCACCCTAATAACATCAGACATAACGTTGTGCACCAAGAGGTGGCAAGGGGCTGGCTTTAGGACCCCCACTGTACAACCAGGGAGCCCCCTGAAAGCCATCACAAACAAACACACAAGGCGCGCGAAAACAGTGTGCTTGCTATGCCGAACTAAGCCTCATCAGATTGCTGCTCCTAAACTCCTCCCACATAAAAATTCTGGAGCTGATGCACACAAATATTCTCTCGTTTAAAACATATTACAAACCCACAGAACATTCCATCCAGCCTTAATCAACACTTGAGAACTCACACATAAATCACAAAGAAAGTCAAGTAGCAATCTAAAGCACCACGTCGTGCCATCAACCTAAAGCCCTGCACAGCCTGAGATACAACACTCCACCTCCTGGGCTGACTTTCACCTCTGCCAGTCTGGAACGACGCCCGTCCCCACGACTCCCACAGAGAGACCACATCAGCATGCACAGCGAAGTGCTGAGAGTGCTTCATAAACGCAACGGACTGCCATCCCATAAAGCCTGTTCACTGGTCGGGAAAGAAGGCTAAGGTGACCTTGCACAACAAAGCAAAACCTCCGCAAAAGGCAGCGGGTACCTTTTTTCCCTCCTATCTACCCTTCATGGTTTTTTAATTCAAATGCGTTGCCAGGGACTTCATTACAGGATGAAAAGGGTCGCTAAAACAGTGAAATGTTCATCTTCTTCACGCTGAGGAGCTTGCTCGTGATCATCCTTAACCAAGGGTCATAGACTCCTGGATCTACGGTGGAACGTCCAAGGTCTATGAAGCCCCCAAATGGTGAATTGGGTACAACGGAGTGAGCAGGCACCCATGCACACGAGCCCCTTTTTCCCTGGGTGAGTCACTCATCCCAGGGTAGAAGAAAGGGCCCTCACAAACTGAAGGCACATTTTAGTTCTTACTCAGCTACTAATTTGTATTGTTACCTTGGATAAATCACTGTAATCCCTGCGCGCCTCGGTTTCCTTATCTTTCCAAAGGGAATATTTGCGCACCCTCCACTTCAAAAGATGGGTGCGAGGATGAGATGAGAAAACACTGATGCGAGTGCTCTGCACAATCAAAAAACCCTGTAATTTTTATCTCTCTTAAAATCACCAGTAGATGCTGATAAAAATCGTGCCTGGGGACGGCCCCTATCTATTTAGAAAGGAACACCAAAAGAATGTTTAAAACTCAAATAATGACACGATTAAAACTCGCCCTTACTCCACTCCCCAGTTCCTGGGTTCTCCAGGCCAGACTGCTCTGGGGCGAGGTAAAGATCACAGGCTCTGTGTCTGCCCAGCCCAGAGCGCTCAGCGACGGGTGCCCCACACTGATGAATCCCTCCCCAATCTCAGAGCACAGAGTGAGAGTCCACAAGGTCAGGTGCATGAACTAGCAGCACTCGCGTGGACTCCGTATTCCTCAACCGCAACAAGCTGCTTTTCAATGTTTGCCTGTTTGCACTACTCTTCGATTGTGAATCCAAAGAGTCAGCCACAGAAGAAAATAAAGCCCAGGAAAATAAAGTAAAATAAACCTGTCACCCTCAGATGTGCCCCAAAGTATCGGGCAGCTTGAAACCGTGGCTAAGGGTCCGCACGGGCCCACAGGGGAGACAGTGTGAGGAGTGAGTGCGCAGGTTACAGGGCGGCTCCCTGCTGCAAACGAAGAGAAAGCCAAGTAGTCCCATGCAGGCGCTCTGCTTTTTGTGCTTTAACAAATTTCTCTTAATTCCCCGCGCTGGGCTCCTTATCGATCAGTAATCCCCACGGAAGAGCCCAGCATTACACCATACAGTGCCCTTTTAGAGTCTCTGAAACTCAGTAAGTCTGTTCCCATCCTTCAATTAGTTCTACCTTCCTATACTTAAAATCAGCCTATATGCAAAATAAGCAACACTTCATAAATAATTTAATATTTGTACTAGTATGAAAAAGTAGGTGAAGAGACTGGCCCTGACCCCTAGCACTTCAAGGGTCACAGGTGAGAAGCACAGAGCCAGGAAACAGAGCTCCTGTGATGCGGCCACGGACCCTGGCCGCGGTACCTGGGTGAGCAAGCCCGCCCGCCCCTGGGCCTCACTCCTCCAGAGCCCCGAGGCCCGGGGCTCTGGGCAGCAACACTCTTCTGATGTGCGCACAGGACGCAGAACCACTATCAAAAGGCATAAACCTCACAGCTCACAGAAGCTCTAAGGCAAACCCACGCCAGAATGAAAAAACCCTAGATACCCGCTTTAGATTTGCGGTAAATGGCCATATCTTTCACCAAAAACTCCCAGACACGATCCTAAGTTCCAGTGGCGATGATCCCACAGGGAGATGACACCGATGAACAACATACTTTCTCTTCTTTCTTCTCCTCATCTGACCTAGGGCCATTCTGATGCCAACCCAGCACCAAAAGTGCCAGAACTGGGCAAATCCTGTCAAGTGGGGAGGCCCCCCAATGAAGTGACTGTTGGTTACGGGGCCACCCTAGTTTTAAAAATCAGCTTCAGGGGCTTTGAGGGGATTCAATTAACTCCTGGAAAAGGGAACTACGTCGGCTTTGGTTTAGCGCTCACACGTCCCTTGGACAAGTCTAACAATGGCGACGCTTTTTTCGACAGCTCTGCAAGGGATGGCAGATAAGCATTCAAAGGTATTTCTAGGAACTACACTTTCAACTCTCCTGAAGAATATCAATATCCCCAAACAGCAAGAAGGTAAACTCGGAGGCTTGGTGTCTTAAGCCACATCCCTCTGAAGCGGCTTTCCCATTCTCCTACCCGAGCTCTGCTCCAGCCTCATCTGCTCAAAGCTTCAACAGCAAAAGACAGGGAAGGCATTTTACACACTCACCTAAACCACTCGGGCGATGTCTCGTAGGATGCAGTTCTGCCCTAAACCACAACAGGGCCTGGGCTTTTTCCAGTCCTCCTTCCTATCTAACAAAGAAAGACAGCAGAAACTTCCCCCTCTCAAGCACGCCTTCCCTGATTAAAACCATAAGGCTGAATTCCCCCAGGGAGGAGAATGGAATTTTCTTGTTGCAGATTATTGCAGGACTCAAAAAAATCTGTGCAAGCAGGGGCGAAGGGACAGAGAACAAAGAGACAAGTCCAGTGTTTAGAATTGTGAGGCACCAAGAAAACCTGGTTTAAAATGATTACACAGCCTGGAGAAGAAAAAACAAAAGCAATTACGATAGCATGTGAGTGGTTTTCCCCTATAATACCCACCATTTCAATACGGTGATTACATTACTGCTAAGATTAAGAAATACAGGGTGGGGCAAAAGTAGGTTTACAGCTGTTCATATGGAAAATAATATAATAATAATAAAATAAACTGTTTCACATATGACTGTAAACCTACTTTTCCCCTACCCTATATATTTTATTTCTACCTCTAAATATAATTGGTTGCTGAAATTCACCATACCGCTTTCTAAAATAAACAATTCCAGTACATGCTATCATAGTGTCCTTAGATAAACACGCACACATGTACACAAACATCATCTGAGTTGTGAACAGCAGACACTGACCTGGCTGTCCCGTGCTGGGAATCCATGATAGCCTGGGGTCAGAGGCTCGTTCTAAGAGAAAGAAAAGAAAACTGTAAGACAAAAGAAATTTTAACGATAACCCAAACCATCCAAATTGGTCAAATATAAATTCCTGCACTATATCCTAAGCTGTTCTGTTGCTATACTCCACTCCACCTCACTACATACATTTTCCCCAGTTCACCCGCTACAAATGGCAAAAAACAAACAAGGAAACCAGTGATTGCTTACGAACACTATTTTCCTCTGTGTACAGCTAAATCTATTTCCTTCCCAAGTATACATTAACAAGGGAGCCCCTGGGATTTGGGGCGGAACCATTCCTAAGCTCATACTGCGGGACTTTAGCATCCCCAGCCCCTAACCACTAAAAGCCAGGAACTGTCCTGAACACCAGGTCAACGCAAAATGTCCACATATTCCCCAAAGTCCCCTGGTTGGAAATGGGACAGTACCACCCCTACTGAGAACTACTTCTTGGCCTGGAGAAGTTTTAGCCCCTCCCCTCTACCAAACTGCTTTCCTTCTGTTCTTTTGAAGTTTTAAAAATCGATTTTAGAGACAGAGAGGATAAGAGAGAGAGACCAATTTGCTTTTCACTGAGTTATGCATTCATTGGTTAAGCCTTCAGTGGTTTTAAACCTAGATGAAATTCTATCTCTGCCCCAGACTTCCTGTACCACTCTATCATCTTATAGACTCAAGTAACTCCTAACACACACACACACACACACACACACACACACACACACACGAGGCCTGCCCAAAAAGTATCCAGCTATGTAATATGAAAAAGAGACATTTATTGAAGATACAAGAAACAAGAAACATTGTACATAGGACAATGACGCCTCAGTCCCCTTCAAAGTGGGAACCTTGGGACCTCACACAGTTCTCCCAATCACCATCAGCCACAGTCGTATTTTTCTGAATCTCACTGATGGTCTGAAATCTCTTCCCTTTCAATGGTGATTTTAGTTTTGGGAAAAGCCAGAAGTCAGAGGGCGCCAAATCTGGGCTGTAGCGGGGCTGAGTCACCTGGGTGATTTGATGTTTCACCAAAATCTCAGCACAAGATGTGATATATGGGCAGGACAAGATGTGTTGTGGTAATGAAGCTGCCAATCACCAGTTGCCCATAGTTGCTGCCTTCTGAATCATCTAAATAGTTTCCACGGAGGAATGTTCATTTGATGCAGATTCGTTGCTCTACTCACTCAGTTATCTTGAATGTGATGGCCACACAGTACACACGCTCACTCAACAGCATCTACCACCCCCACTGACCAGTACAGTGAAGTCACTCTTGTTCACACATGTGCCTTACAGTCCATTATCTTTGGCTGCTAGGTTACATCAATGTCACACAAACCATTCTTGCTATATTAACAATGGTTGGATTTTTTCTAGACAGACCTCCCATGTTAAAATTTGTTTAGGTTACTTGTACAATTTACTTTTCATATTAATTATGACTCTATAAATCTTATCTTTGTAAAGATGTATCATATTCACATTAATCATTAAATCTAGATCTTTGAGGGCAAAATGATAGCTAATAAAAGTTATACAGCCCTAGCCAGGTGGCTTAGTTGATAGAGCACTGTCCCGTACACCAAAAGGTTGCAGGTTTGATCCCTAGTCAGAGCACATACCTAGGTTGTAGGTTTACTACATGGTTGGGGAGCAGGCGGGAGGCAAGCAACTGATGTTTCTCTCTCACACTGATGTTTCTCTCTCCCTCCCCCCATTTCTTTTTCTCCCTCCCTCCCTCTCTCTCTAAAATCAATGGACATATCCTAGGGTGAGAATTTAAAAAAGAAAATGTATAGGTGACAAAACAATCTTGAGAAAGAAGAACAAAGTTTGAAGGAATCATACTTCCGGATTTCAAAGTTTACCACAAAGTTCAGTTAATGAAGGTACTGTAATATTGGCATAAGGACAGACATACGGACCAATGAAACACTACTGAAAGTCCCAAAATAAACCCCTGCAGTTATGATAAACTGATTTTTGAAAAGGTGCCAAAAAACCAAAATGAATGAAGGAAGAAAGTAGTATTTTCAGTAAGTGGTACTGGGACAACTGGATATCCACGTGTACAGTAACAGAAGTTGGAACTCTATCTCACACCATATACAAAATTAACTCAAAATACACCACAGACTTTAAGCCATAAAACCCTGGATATGTGTATGAAATACCCAGAATGGGCAAATCCACGGAGAAAGAAACGAAATTAGTAGTTCTAGAAGCTAAAGGCAAAGAATGGGGAGTGACTGCTAACAGGCAGTGGGTTCATTTTTGGTGATGAAAATATTCTGGAATTAGACAGTGGTGATGGATGCATGATTCTATGATTATATACTAAAAACCACCAAAATGCTTAAAACCACTACAAACACTTTAAAAGGATGACATTTATGGTCAGTACATCATATGTCAATAAATCTATTATTTAAAAATAATGACTACAGGCAACGGCTATTTTCACACTAATTTCTACAGCAGAGACGTATACAGCTTAGACTGCAGCCAAAGAACAGGGTTTCTTCGGAAATCCACAAGTGCCTTGTTTTTTATGGATTCTACAAATTTATCACAACACCACCCCCTACAGATGTTTAACAATAATGATGACGAAGATGACAATACTAGATACTGGACAACTGGTCGGGTATAGCTTCAGGATGGAGGGAAGGAGGAAGAGAAAGGAGCAAAGAGGAAATGATAAGGTAGAGCTATTAAGGGAGAAAGTCAAGCTTTCAGCCCAGGTCTGCTGGACTCCAGAGCCCCTGTTTTTTCCATTTTATCAAGTTCTCTTCTCTAACAACCATTCTGCATTATTCCTTTATAGTGACTATTTCAAGGTTGTCTGAGAACAAAGAAAGTACTAAAAAACATCCAAAAGCATAATTAACAGAGATTCATCAATCCCAGAGAACATCCATGTTTAAAACATATTCTTTGGTTCAACAATGCAGAAAACGTTTTATAAGGAAAAATCACATTCCTACAAGCCAGCATTGTCAAAACCCTTCATAGCAAAGACAGATATGACAGGCTGCACAGAGGTGTCCCAGGGAAATGGATTTATTTACTCCTTCCTTGCCTTAGCAAGGCAGCACTCTCCTGTGTCTCCATCTCTCAAACGGGCCATGTGGAACTCTCCAGCCCTCAGGAAACGCCCTGACTCTCTGAAAGCGGCCTACACTTAATGCCCAAGGCTTGCTTTCCTTTTCTTCCCCTCTCTTCTTATTTATTTCTAGAGAGAGGGGATGGGAGGAAGAGAGGGAGAGAAACATCAATGTGTGGCTGCCTCTCGCATGCCCAAAACCCAGACATGTGCCCTGACTTGCAATCGAACTGGCAACCCCTCGGTTCACAGGCCAGCACTCAATCCACTGAGCCACACCAGCCACGTTTGCTTGCTTTCCTTTTGAACTTTACCACGCATATCTCTCCTCTCAACATGTTTTAACGCTGCATGTTTTTGAAGTTTATAAAACTGTATCCTATTTAATGTATTCTTTAGTAATTTCCTTTTTTTACTCAATACTGCTCACTCATTTTGACTACTGTTTAGTATTCTAGTTGATGAACATGTTAGTTTATTTACTTGTCTTATTTTCCTGTTAATATATTTAAATTGTTTCCAGTTCTCTTTGTTTGCACTCAACAAACCACGCTATGAACATCCTTTCTTATTTGAGATGTTTTATTCATGAGATTGGTGAAAATAGTATCACAAATTGAATAAAAAATAATAAATAGATATCTTCCCATCTAATAGTAGAAATTTAAGTATATTAGGACCACTGTGTTTTGGAAAGCAATTTGACAATAATTATTAAAATATTAAATGCACATACCTTGTAACTGCACATCTCTGATCTCTATCTAAAGAATCACTTGCACATGCCCAAAAAGCATGTACAAAAATTTTCAATAGTTTGTAACTGTAAAAAAGTAGAAAGAACCTCAAGTCTCCATTAATAATAGGAAAAGAGTATTATCAACTATTACATTATTTCAACATCCTCTGTGTAAGTTTTTAAAAAGGTAAAACCTCTGAATTATCCAAGTCGTAGTAAATGATAGCGTAACAGTGGACTTTTGTAATTACGGTGTGAGAAGAGGCATGTCTACACCATCTAAGAAGTAAGTGTGTGCACAGACAGGGAAGGACAGACAACAAACCTGTGACTTCTAACAGGGTCTCCTCCGGGGAGAAGAATGCGACCTGCGGGAGGTCGGGAGGGCCGCTTCACCTGAGCCGGCTGAGCTGTACAAACCGTAAAAGCCATGCACTACTCAGCGCACTGAAAAGAGCCAAGAGTCACTACTATCAGTGTCTCACAATGTCTTAAAACTTACAAAAACACCTTCACATCATCTTATTTAAACTTCACAATGCAGAAACTAGGTTTTATAACCCTCATTTCACAGATGAGAAAACTAAATTTCAGGAAGATTAAGTGATTTACTCAAGGACAAATAGCTAATGATAGTGGCTAAGCTGCCCTCAAAGTTAGGTGTTAACTCTACGCCCAGCACTTCTGCTGCTTCACAACTAGTAAAGTAAAACATTCCCCTAGTCCATGTACGAATGATCATGACTGTCTAAACACAGGCAGATCTGAATTTTTAATCAGTGTCAAAATAATAACTGACATTTAAAGCTGAGATGGACTCACAGACAAGCTAATGGAACAGACGAGCAGAAATCCAATGTGTTAAGTTCTCAAGAGGAAAGCCAGCCTTTAGCAACTACATGCCCATAAGCAACAACGACTGGCCTGGTAAGACTGAGAGAGTTAGAAACTGACTCTGCCTGGGCACAGAGACAACTCAAAAGTAAAGTGAATACATAAGAAATAAAATACCACCCAGGCTGGTGTGGCTCAGTGGACTGAGTGCCACCTCCGAACCAAAGGGTTTCCAGTTCAAGTCCCAGTCAGGGCACATGCCTGGGTTGCGGGCCAGGTCCCCAGGATGGGGCAAGCAAGAGGCAACCACACATTAAT